TGTGGAGAGGGCTGAGAAGTGACAAGGCAGACACAAAAGGGAGTCAGGACAAGATGGCATTACCATGGTCATAATAACCTCAATTTCACCTCTTTTAATAGTCTATAGTTACTAAGACAGGCATAGTGGCTCTCTTCCCTAATCCCAGGTACTTGGTGGTTGAGGCAACAGGATTTCAAGTCCAGGAATTTGATACAGACTTGAGCAATACAAGGAGACCCTGTCCCCAAACCAACAAACCCCTCAGTTATTTCAAAGATAAGTACACATGCTTGCACACAAGCATGTAGGTAATGAGCTGTAATGCAGTCCTTTTACATGACTCTCAGTGGCTATGCTTTGGTATCCAGACTCTGCAACCTCACTGACCTTTAGACAGGGCAGACAGAATCCCTCGTGCTTGTCAATCCATTAAAGCTCCAAATCCCAGGTCTCTCTGTGGAAATGGCAGAGCGTTTGGTTTCCTGGGGCTGACTTATGCTCTGGAAAGAGCAAATAACAAGCTGCATTGCCTGACTGTTCTGGGGGCTGGAAGGTCAGTCAAGATGCAGGTGGGGTCAGTGCCTTCAGAGGGGTTGAGAAAGAGCTCCCCCTTGTCTCCCCTGGCTTCTGGAGGTGTGATGGTTGTATTAGTCAGGGCCCTCTACAGTAACAGAACTTACAGAAAACGTCTCTACATACAGAAAGGAGGTTTATTAGAATGGCTAATCCAACAATGGCTGCATAGGAAAGGAGTTCAAGAGTCCAGTAGTTGCTTAGTCCATGAGGCTGGGTGTCTCCGCTGGTCTTCACTTTTGCCACAGAATCCCAAAGAAGTAGGCTTCTAACGCCCTTGCTCTCATGCTTGCAAGCTGGCGAAAGGCAAAAACTTCCTTCTTCCATGTTGATAATGGACTGAACCTCTGAACTGTAAGCCAACCCAACCAAATGTTTTCCTGTATAAGAGTTGCCTTGGAGCCAGGTGGTGGGGCATGCCTTTAGTCCCAGCACTCACTCTGGAGGCAGAGGCAGGCAGATCTCTGTGAGTTCAAGGCCTACTCTAGTCTACAGAGTGAGTTCCAAGACAGCCTCCAAAGCCACAGAGAAACCCTGTCTCAAGAAACAAAAGAAAACAAAACAAAAGAGTTGCCATGGTTGTGTTGTCTCATCGCATGACGGACAACTAACTAAGACTCTGTTTTGTGTGGTGCATGAGCTCACACCTAGGGCTTCCTGTTAGTTAGTCAGGGGCTGACAACTGACCTTGCCTCCCTGTGTTTCCTCTGCTTAAGAGGACACCATGTTAGGCATGGGGCCTGCCCTGATCTAGTATCATATACTCTGAACTTAACTAGCTCCATCTACAAAGACCATTTCCCAGGGAAATATTCATAAGTTCATGAAGTTACAAACTCAGAATAATTGTGACCACAGCTGAGTCCAGAGCAGGCACTGGCACTGTGAGATCCTCCATCATTGCAGAAACACAGTTTCTGGGGTTCAGAATGATTGACACCTTCCTCAAAAGGAAAGCAGGCTCCTAGCTGGGGCTGCTGGCTGAGTCTCCAGCTGCACTGCCCATGTCACCCACAAGGCCTTGGGGCAGGAACGTGGTCCCAAACCCTGTAGCTGCCTCTCTCTTGGCCACTGGCACTAAGGACACTGCTCAGTGTGGAAGTCCACAAGAATACACAGTAGATGACAACTGATATATGTAACATCAAGCCACCGGACAAGCTATTGTCTGATGGAGGATAAACAAGGTTCATGAATCCACTACCTATGGATACAGATTGATTCTGACTGTAAATTTCTTGTGTGATACCATGATCTCTCCCCTAAAACAGCCATGGGATTCTTCCCACAGCAGTTGGTAGTGTGTCCCTCATTTATTGGGCAGGGTTGTCCCTGTGATTCGACAGGATGACTTCCTCTTTTACCGTGTACTTCTGGTGTATAAAATATGCCTTATTGTTTAGCCTTTTGTTCCACGAAATGGTGAGAAACTTAGAAGCCTGTTTTCCATCATTCGCTGGCGGACAAGCCAACTGAGGACAAAACAGCTAGACTGAATGTCTCTGCACAGATTGCAAGCTAGACTTTTCACAGATAAAACTCAATGACAGAGGTGCAGGTGTCTGTTTTGTTGAATCAAAGTTGTTTAGATACAGAGGTATCTAAAACACTTGCCAGTTTCTATTGTCAGGCCCAATTGGTAACGCAAGGATGGTGGAAATGGTGAAACTCCTTAAGCAATTAACACCTGGCAGGAACTTCTAACCTCAGTTCATAGTACAGAATCCTAGGCTCAGATAACCAACCGGTTGTTTTGTTTTGATGGAAGATAAGTTTGTATTTATGTACAGAAAATTTAGCAGTGAGTGTACGTTTAACCCAGTTTAGTAGTGAGTCCTTTGGCCTTTGCCTTTTCCAGCTTGGCAATTTGAGCCACAGATTTAGGACCCAGGGCTTTGCCTCCCCAGTGGCATCGGATCTCATCATATATGTCGTTGTAATTGGACCTAATAGCTTCCACCAGCTTAGCCAGAGAACCCTTGTCTTCCGAGTTAACCTGTTGAAGGCAACAGGGGTACATGTTTTCCTGTGGACCAGTCGTCCCAGCCGGGCTTTTCCCTTGATGATGCAGTAGGGGACTCCCATCTTCTGACACAGGGCAGGCAGGAAGACCACCAGCTCAATGGGGTCTACATCGTGGGCGATTACCACCAGCCGAGCCTTTTTGTTCTCCACCAAGGTGGTGACTGTATTGACTCCTGCTCGAAGAACAGGTGGCCTCTTAGTTGGGACATCCCCTTTGCCAGCAGCCTTCTCAGCACAGGCTAACAGCCTTTGTTTCTTCTCCTGGTTTGTCTCTGGCCTGTACTTGTGGGCAAGCTTGAGCAGCTGGGTAGCTGTTTGCCGGTCCAGGGCCTGGGTGAACTGCCAACCGGTTATGTTTAAGTCCTGAAGTTTTTATGGTTAACAGGAGAAAGTAATTAAACAATTAGCCAGGTTCGGAGGGAAACAGCTTTTATGGCAGTCACCATGGAAGAGGCTTCACAAATGTCCAGGGACTATCAGAAATAGCTTGACCTCACAGCCTTGAATAAAAAGTTACAAACTTCCCTCCTTGGGCTCTGGGGCTATATGTAGGATAAGGAAATACTTTGTATTTAGGATGTTTGTGTTGATATGAACTTTCTCCCCTTGCTTTGCCTGGGTTGTTGTGGTTACTCACAGAAGCTTGAACCCCTCTCCCCCAGCCCATTGGTTGCTAGCAAACTGCTTCCAGCTGCCGACACAACACTCCTGTCAGGACCACGGGGAAAAAACAGACACCTTTATGCTTTATTTATTTATTATTATTCCTATTATTATTATTATTATTATTTGGTTTTTCGAGACATGGTTTCTCTGTGGCTTTGAAGCCTATCCTGGAACTAGCTCTTGTAGACCAAGCTGGTCTCGAACTCACATAGATCCACCTAACCCTGCTGGGACTAAAGGCATGCCCAGCTTACCATCATGCTTTATTAATCTAAACAGTTAGCTTGTAATGTTAATCACACCTAAGAAATGTTGGTTAGTACACGCCCCCTTCTTTGACTCCCCTGGAGTTTAGCTTTTCTCCCCTGTAACTGGCAACCTGTCTCCTTCAGAAGTTAACACTGTAGCCAGCTCTCTCCCTCAGGAAACACTGAAGCCAGAACTCCTTTTACAACCCAGTGCCAACCAGACAGCTGGCAAGCACTATCACTTTGTCCTTTATCGTTAACTCAAGGAATGCATTGACCCTGAGAAACAGCTTCTGTAACCTTTTTTTATTGCCTGAAGTCTGTTGTTTTGCATGTATAAAAACTGTACGAACAGCTGAGCAGTGGTGGCGCATGCCTTAATTTAATCCCAGCATTCGAGAGGCAGAGGCAGGTGTAAGAAGTAGGGGAAGGTGAGACCCGGGGCAATCCAAACTGTCTGAAGGAGACAAAGCAGCCAAAGCTGCCCAGCAGACAGATCAACAGAGCAACCTGTGAGGACCCTGTCTGACCTTCAAGCTATCTGAAGGCTGCACAAAGAGCTATGTGTTCCCAGCTTTTGGAACTGTCACCCATGCTGGGGTGGTGATGTAGCTGTTTGTAAGTCATTCCAGCTACTCTAAGTAACCTGCCTCATCCTCTGTGGCTTCCATTCGGGAACCCTGACTAGGGGCTGCAAGGGAACTTAGAAAAGGACAGACACACTTACAGGTGGAGAGGGCACTAGCCACACTCTTACCTCCACAACCCAGACCTGAGCCTCAGTGTCTATTATGTACACCACAGGGGTTGGGACGCTAGACAGGCAGGAGGTGTTGGTAGGTGAGCAGGCTCAGGCTGTCTCACCAGGAGGAAGCTGTAATTAGTGATTTCTGTGCCCATCATCACTCACTTGGACAAGACCCCCAGGAAGGCTTTGTCATCCCTCTGGGCCTCACCAGCAGAGGTTTTGCCACTCCCACGGGCCTGAGGCACTGGAATCCTTGGCATGGTCTGCCCATACACTTGACTCTTTCACAGTTTCCTCCACAGCCTACGGTAACCCCACACACCTATTCTTTTATAAGTGACTCCAGTAAAACTCATTGGTTCACCAAAATGGATGGTGGCATCTGTACTTGATCTGCTCACAATTCTGCATCCAAAGGGAGCACATGTCTGCTCATGTCTCCCCAGACACAGTGTCACACAACGAACAAGAGGGAAATACAAGATTCCACACATCATCCCACACAGAAGCAACAGCACACAACCAGCAAATCCCCAACACTGGGTGTGGGTGCTGGTGAGCCTCTAATCCCAGTGCTGGGCCATAAGCAGACACTGGAGGATCACCGGGCTCACTGACAACCAAACTCCATCTTCATCAACAAGGGCCACTGTCTCAGGGGAGCAAGGCAGAGAGTGATTCAGCAGGATACCAGATGTCTTCTTCTTGCTTCTGTGTACACACCCATGGGCGCGCACACACACATCCAGACACATAAGCACAGAATAAAAATCTTGTATTTTAATAACACTGATCATCACAATAAATATCTCACAGTAATGACTTCGTGAAGACAATTGACAAAGCACTTTGATGTAGTGATTTGGCTCACGTAAGATGGGGGCATTATGCACACTGACAGATGCGCACCTGTCCTGGGTAGAGACCTCAGGTGAAGGGGACAGTGAATCGGATAGATGAGTTCTTGGATTTTCTTTCTTTTTTTGAAGGGGGGAGTTCGAGACAGGGTTTCTCTGTGGCTTTGGAGGCAGTCCTGAATCATAGAGATCTGCCTGACTCTGCCTCGGATTTTTTTCTGAACAAGCATAAATGTTTTGCCTTTTTTAAAAAAAACACAAAAGTGCTGACTTCCATTTTAAGACACAATTTTAAGACTTCCATTTTAAACAAACTTCACTGTGCACAGCACACGGTGTCACCTCTTCAGCTCAGCTTCGTCCCCCGAACCACAGTCACTCACATCTGAGATGCCCGACCCTTCCCGACTCTTCTCCAATAGAGCCTGGTTCCAAAGAGGAATTCGGGATCTGGAAAGCTCCAGTTTTCCCTGGCCAACCCAGGCCAGAAGCCATGGTCCTCCTGTCTCACCTGGACCCTCTCTCTGGAAGATGAGTCTTCATCCCCACCCCACCCCCCAAATTCTCACGGCTTGGGGACAGCAGGAAAATCACGGGCTCCCTACTCTTTTCCAGAGCCAGCTGTGTGGCCCTTTTCAGTCCCACCAGTGGTGAGTCTGTCAAGTGACATCAACATCAATCACAGTGACAGCACCTTCCAGAGGCCCTTCTACCCCAGCTGCCCTTCAGGGGCCCGGCTAAGACTTGAGCAGGGAGATCCTGGGCTCTGGACAGAGTCTTCGAGGTCGGCGTGGGGCTGAGGCCCTGGTTCCTGCTGTAGGCATTTCTCTGCAAAACACACGGGATTTCATCAAGTACTGAAAATGTTCCTTAAGGCTGGGTCCTGCCATGGAATGGGTGTCAAGGAATGACAGTCACCAGGGTGTGGCGCCTAGGAAGAGCGTGTGGGCCTGCCGGGGGCTTTCAGGGCTTTCCTGACTCATCCTCTTCCATATCCTTCACACAGTTTGCTGGAGAATATTCCCACACTCACCGGCCTCCTCCAGAGTAGTGAAGTACTGGAGCCCCTTCAGGTCAGCAGCCAACAGTGTGCGAAGCACAGGCACCTGGGGACAGACACGCTTTAGCACAGGGCGGGGTGTCCTGAAAGATTCTACTGGTCTCACATGGATGGAGGAGGGAGGAAGGTGGGCCTTGGGGTCTCCTTGCCAGAGAACCTTCCCAGTGAACAGTCTCTATAAAAAAATTCATGATCTAAAATAACAAACCTCAACCCCTGACTCAGCACAGTGATAAGACACCAATGTAGCAATGAGAACACCTGCCAGTATCATTCGGCCCTGAGACTACACAGAACACATCCAGATAAAACCTCCCCCCTCCACAGTTCCTTCCTATAAAGCGGGAGCCCCCAGTACAGTCCCCACTGTCCTGAAGATCCCTGACCTCCACTGTTCTGATTAAAGTGCACTTTGCTTCTACAGAGGTAGGCCTCCTCTTTCTTTTATTTTCACGTTGACTAATTAGTCCTAGTCTAACAACCATGAGGACCAGGGCGCTGCACACCTGCATGCACGCTCGTGCACACGCATGTGCTTGAGTGCACATGCACACACACACAGACACAGACACACACACACACACACAGAGACACACACACACACACACATACACACACAGACACACACACACACAGAGACACACACACACAGACACAGACACACACACACAGACACACACACACAAACTCCAAGAGACACACCCCCACACACACACAGACATACGCACACAGACACACACACACACAGAGACACACACACACAGACACAGACACACACACACAGACACACACACACAAACTCCAAGAGACACACCCCCACACACACACAGACATACGCACACAGACACACACACACACAGAGACACACACACACAGACACAGACACACACACACAGACACACACACACAAACTCCAAGAGACACACCCCCACACACACACAGACATACGCACACAGACACACACACACACAGAGACACACACACACAGACACAGACACACACACACAGACACACACACACAAACTCCAAGAGACACACCCCCACACACACACAGACATACGCACACAGACACACACACACACAGAGACACACACACACACACACACACACACACACACAGCACAATGGGCATGCATGGCCTGGGACTAGAGCTCTGGTCTGAAGTTCTCAGCACAGGTGTGAGTCAACACTGACCACAGGAGAATCAAGTCAGATGATCCGTAACCTGTCACTTTAGAACCACAGCCAGAGAGGACTGGGCATGGGTCCTTAGAAGGATGTCATGGCTCAGAGGTGTCACTAAGGATTTAAAAACATTTTAGTCTTTATTTTGTTTTGTTTTTGGCCAGGGTCTTGCTCTGTAGCCGTGGTTAGCCTTATACTTGAAGTGTGGCCCAGGCTGGCCTTGAACTCATGTCAACACTCTTGCCTCAGCCTCCTGTGTGCAGGAACTACAGATACATGTAATGGTATCTGTCCACAGGTGTCACATTAGCCCAGGGCCACAGGGAGGGCTGTGGACCCTCCTCATGAGGTGGCATGGCTCTCCTACCTGCAGGCCAACGAAGGCCAGGGTGACACCCCGTTTCTGGAAGTCCTCCAGGAGCTCACTGAGTCCCACAACCACGGTGTAGTCTATGCAGCTGACATGCGTGCACTCCAGGACCGCGCAGCGTGGTAGGGGTGCTGGGGAGACAGGCCAAGAGTCTGCCATCGCACCGGCCAAACATGTTCTCTGCAGCCATGGCAGGGTTGACGGAAGGCCATCAAGAGACCATGCCCTAGGACTGTCACCTAGCAAAGGGGCCAGGGTGGAGGCAATGGCTGTCTGGAGAAAGCTACTTCCCTTTTAGGTTCCCCTGGATGTCAATTCCCCAGGCAGAGGCACAGGAGCAATCCGGGCCTTTAACGGGGGAGTCATGGGACTGCTGCCCAATGGGGGCTGTGGCTCTGCAGCAGACCCTACCTGGGCATCTGAAATGGGAAGCAGGTGACTGTCTCCCTCACCCCTGAGGGCGTTGAGGCTGTGGTGTGCAGGCAAATGCAGGAGTATGCGCTAATTTCTGCTCATCTTGGCTGGCCCACATACCTTCCAGTGCCCGGTTCATTATTGCCTCTCGTAGGGCATCAATTGCAGGGAAGTGCAGGCCACTGGCTGGCTGCAGGACAAGAATGCGTCCTTCTGACACCTGGGTGGAGGAGAGCAAGAGTGAAGGTCTGGGCAGATGGGTGAGGATGCTCTTCTAGGCTTTGCTGTTTGCTCACGGACAGGCAGGAAGCCCTGTACCCTTCACATGGGGTACAGCAGGGGGGGAAGCTAGCAGGAGAGACCCCAACCCTCACACTCAAGAGAGCTAGAGGTGCGCAGGGTGGTGGCGGCGCATGCCTTTAATCCCAGCCCTCAGGAGGCAGAGGCAGGCGGATCTCTGTGAGTTCGAGACCAGCCTGGTCTACAGAGCAAGTGCCAAAGCCACAGAGAAACCCTGTCTTGAAAAACCAAAACAGAGAGAGAGAGAGAGAGCGCTCTCCCTCAGGAGCACCTCAGATGGAAGATATCTCAGCAACTGTAGCAACCAAGGGATCCCCACCCACATTTTCCCTCCTCTGGGCCTACCTGGGTCTTGGGCCTAGCCACAAAGTGCAGGAGAATGAGCAAAGACACCAGAGTCCCAGCCAGGATGCCGTACTGAACCTCCCAGAAGCACAGCAGGAATGTCACAGAGAGTGGCAGCAGATCCAGCCCTAGAAGACGTGTTGGTTCAGGGGCACCCCTCCCAAGTGCACCCTCTGAGACCCATGGCCCAGTGGCCAGCCACTTAGCATCCCCCAGGGCCCTAAAGCACCTGGAGGAAGATGTGGTACAGGAACTCCAGCTGTGGGCTGCAGCTAGCCCACAGACCAAGGGCAGAGGTAGAGACTGGGCCCCTGTCTACCAGGGGAGGGGACCCACCCAGCCTGGTCCCATCCCTCGAGCCTCTGTGAGCAGGTAGGCATGGGGGTGGAGGGGGTGGGGCCTGTCAGAGAACCCAGAGAGAAGGAAGGGTGTGTGTGCGCGAGTCTGTGTGTCTCTGTGTGTATGCGTGTCTGTGCGTGTATTTGTGTGTTCCTATCTGTGTATGTGAGTGCATGCCTGTGTGTGTGTCTGTGTGGATGTGTGTGTGTATCTGTCTCTGTGAATGTGTCTGTGGCTGTGTGTCTTGTGACTTCTAGGAGACCCAGAGGATTCTTTGGCTGAAGTAGTGTCCTGGGTACAAAGTCCATGGAATCACCCTGGGATTCCACCTCTGAAACAGTGACCAAGACATGCCCATCCTTCAGACACGCCCACCCCAGAGATGCCCACCCTCCAGACACACCCACCCCAGAGATGCCCATCCTCTAGACACGCCCACCCCAGACATGCCCACCCCCAGACATGCCCATCCTTCAGACACGCCCACCCCCAGACATGCCCACCCTCTAGACACACCCACCCCCGCCCCTTTTGGTAGCATGTTACAAGGTTGGGTAATAGTTCCTGACATGATCTGAAAACTTTTTTTTCTCCCTTAAACATGAACATTCAATCTCCAACTAGAATGTGTTGCCTCAAGTTAGGTTTCTTCTTAGGAAATTAGTTGCAGAAAACTATAACCATGCATTTGTTCTACAATAACTAAGATTGATTCCTAAATCTTTTTTAAGTTTTATTTTATGTATATGAGTACTTTTGTGCATGTATGTCTGTACACCACATGCATGTAGTGACCAGGAGGCCAGAGGAAGGTATTAGTCCTTCTGGAGATGCAATTACTGGAGCTGCCATGTGGGTGCTGGGATAGGGACCTGGTTAGAGCAGTAAGCACTCTTAACTGCTGAGTCAACCCCCCCCCCACACACACACCCTTAAATCTTTGCCAGCTTCAGAATTCTGCATCTTACTGACTGACACGCTTCCAGAAGTCATATCATCTTGACCCTCAAACCAAGGTCTTAATAATCATCAGAACTTTCCAGCTAGGTCTGTGTTCTGCCAATCTGATCATCTTAATTGCTCTTGGGACTAATCTCTAATGGCCTCCTAGAAGGAAAGGACTAGACCTGCATGTCTGTTCTAGAGAGGAGGTCCTGCCGTTTGGTTTGGGGTGGGGATGGAAGACTTGTCCTTATTTAACAGACTCTCCTGAAGGGCTGTGGCTTTCTTTATGTCTTTCCCAGACTGAAAATAAAAATAAAAATCCTATCATAAATTCTGTCTTTCAAAATGTTCTTGTAATTCTTCCCTGTGGGCTTAGCATTTCACAAAATTCCATGGGCCACCTGGAGGACCACGGCTCCTCCTCTTCACACTGTCCTTGTCAGCACTTGGCAAACACAACTCCCGCACCATCTGGAGCCTTCCCCAGGTGCCTTTTCTCCATCTAGAGACCTTCTGCTCAGCTTTAGTTTGAGCTGCATACCTGCTCTCACTGTTAAACCTGACTTTACCTGCATTTGTTTTACTTGCTGATACCTGTTTTGGTGAAAGCCTTTGATCCAAGCCTACAGGCCCCTGAATTAGAGGGATGCTCTCAGGAAGACAGAGGGCGGGGCAGCAAAACCAATAGTAGAAGTGGTACTTCTTCAGGTCCTAGGGGAAACACAAATCAGAACAAAGTTGTATATAACTCGGTTCCACGAATTAAAGCAACACACATTTATTAATGTAATATATTAAGCCAGGGGCAGCAGTGCATGCCTGTAATCCCAGCACCTGAGAGGCGAAGGTAAGAGAAACAGAAGTTTAGGGACATCCTGAGCTACATAGTAAGTTAGAGGCCAGCCTAGCTTATATAAGACCCAGCAGGCTTCCCATGGAGACCCCACTAAACAACACAGCTGCATTCTTCATTCAGTCCTGAGAGTGATGCTTCTCTGTTGTCCTCTGCACACCAGAGGGAACGCTTTCCCAAAGGCTTAATATTTGAGGTGGTTCAGATTTTGCAGTTTTTTCAGATTTCAGATTACTATTTGCATATGTACCCTGAAATACCCTGTGAATGGGACCCAAGCCTAAACACAAAATTCATTTTTTTGTGTGTTATATACTACTTATCTCCACAGCCTGCATGAAATTTGATACCGTATTTTTAGTGCAGCAACATTTTAAGTGTGGACTTTTCCACCATGTTACCATGTCAATATTCAAAGTCCTGATTTGGAAACATTTTGGATTAAGATTAAGGATGTTTCCCTGTTTGATACTGCTTTCCAAAATGTCTTCTTGGTGGAGTGTAAGTCAGCAACTATTAAACACCTGCTGTGTACAAGGCAAAACATGACACTCAGACAATACAATGACTAAGCCTCAGTCCTAGCCATCAGCTGCTGGCCTTCCATATAGAACAGAGATAGAGTCTGTGATCGGCAATCTTAAAGGAGGCTCCAATTACTGAGGTATAATGATGTCATGCAGGGAACAGTTGGCCACTCCCACACCCAGGGGAAGGAGTTTCTAAGCTGTTCTCAACTCACTTCCCACACAGCCCCAGGGCTCTGGGCCTCAAATTCCTGTGCCACTGGAGCCTGACTCTCTCATAGGGTAGGTAGGGTAGGACCCCCAGGGCTCTGTGGGTCCTGGACAGACTCTTCCCTCATCTGTGATGTAGTGTGATGCTCTGATGCAGTTCTGCTTAGAAATCACGTCTTGTGAGTCTTGCTAAGAGTGAGAACTGCAGAGCTGTCACCTGACTTAGATTTTGTTTTCAATTTTGCATATGTATGAATGTGCTATATATGCATGTATTTATGCTCTCATGTCTGTGAGCACATGTGGGTGTACAAGGGTACATGTACACATGTGCACGCATGTGGAGGCTTGAGCTTGCCATCAAGTGTCTTCCTTTTCCCACCTTAAATGCTGAAGCAGGGTCTCTTGCTGAACCCAAAGCTCACTGAGGAGGCTATCTGACTAGCCAGCTTCTCTGCCCTCCATGCCCACTTGGCTTTTATGTGGTTCTGAGGCTCTGAGCTCAGGTCCTCATGCTTGCACTGCAGTGCTTTAGCCACAAGCCATTTTTCTCCAAGGCCCTGGAGGCCTCTTGTATCAAAACATAATTAGAGAAAATTCATCACATTTACATAGACAATTTCGTAGGTTTTTTTGTTGTTTGACACCACTGAACCACCAATAATTCTTGAACATTTTTATTATTCAAAGAAGAAACCCTGTCCCTATGAGCAGAACAGCCCCACTCCCCACTCTCCCTGACCTTTGGATACACCAAGACATTCTCTGTGGATGTCTGTTTCAGAGTTTTCATAGAAATGGAATCACTCAATAACTTTGGGGGGTGGAGTCAAGACAGGGTTTCTCTGTGGCTTTGGAGGCTGTCCTGGGACTAGCTCTTGTAGACCAGGCTGGTCTCGAAATCACCGAGACCCGCCTGCCTCTGCCTCCGAGTGCTGGGATTAAAGGCATGCACTACCACCCGGCCACTCAATGACTTTTAAAATATAAATATATATGTAAAACAGTTCCAATGAGAGCCTAGTAATTACAGTCTCCACAGTCTCCATCTTGGACACTAATTGATGAACTACAAAAAAAAAAAAAAAAAAAATCACGTTTCACAATGGCAAAACAGTCAAACTGAAATTAATGAAGGGCCTGGCCCTCTGAGGCCTGGGAGCCCGCTCTCTCCTGCTGTGCTTAGGTGATTGTCATAGCTGATCTTCAGCAAAAGGTTAAACCATTCAAGATGGCAGACCTCACGCCTGCTGATAGCTTATCAGGCCATCCCCAGAAGCCAAAGCTTTCTTAGAGATGTGCTCCTGCCCCCACACCCCACTTGGGATGCAAAGGATCATGGGCAAATTAAACATAAAGCCTTTTGTGTCTGAAGAGTTTAAAGGACCTTTTTATTTTATTTTTTTACAGCCTGACTAAGAACATTTTGCAAAAAGGGACAGCACGACAGCCACTGACTCTAGGAAACTGCTTAAAAGTTTAATAAAGCTGGGTGGTGGTGGTACATGCCTTTAATCCCTCCCAGCACTCAGAAGGCAAAGACAGGCAGATCTCTGTGAGTTGGAGACAAGCCTGGTCTATAGGGCTAGTTCCAGGACAGCCTCCAAAGCTACAGAGAAACCCTGTCTTGAAAAACAAAACAAAACAAAACAAAACAAAACAACAACCCCCCCCCCCAAAAAAAAAACGCTGATGTTTTTTTCTCATTAAACCAAAACTGTTAGTGGGATCCTTGGTATAAAAGAATGGATTAAATTTAATTAACAAGAATTCTTAGTATAAAAAGGTACTCATGATCAAGTAACAAACTGAAACCTTTAGCACTAATTAAATCCATCCTACCAAGGAACTCATAAGTAGATAAATGATTGACATCCAAGTTGTACCTGGTAACCTGACGGAGCCCCAGGGCATCATCTCTCCCACCATAACTCATTGGGAAATGTACCCCTCATAGGTAATGACCCTTGGGCTGCCTGAGGAAGGTACCCTGCTAGCCTCTCCTGTGCCCGGCAGGGAATAACACAGAGGGCATTTGGAGAAGCAAGACTCGGTTAAAAATAACTAAATCAGTGCCTTTCTCCCAACATGTACATTTAAATTTATATGAAAACATTTTCTTAATATATCCAACTTTACTAAGTAAATAAATATATCAAATGTGTGGAAGGAGATTGATGTCCAGGATTGATGAGGCTGTGGCAAAGCAACACACGTTAACACACAGGGACCTAAATATGCCTAGAGGCACACACACCATCAGAGAGAACAAATATCAATAAGGTTGGCCACTGTGGGTCATGGAAGTGCTGTTCACACTAGGGGACAGAAATCTAATCCTGAATGTCAGCTGGAGTCTATTGAACATCCACTTGACAGAACACAACAGCATTTTGCAGACATCTACATATGCAGATGCCTTCCTCTGCTACAGGGTTGTGTGTAAACTTACAGGGAAAGCAGGTTCTTAACTAGTTGGCAGGCTGCCCTCAGCGTTTATATAAATTAAGTCTTGTGTATAGAAAGGTTTTCTTGTAAACAATTGTTTGGGCGCTGAGCCAGGTGGCATGACAGCCTCTATCCAGGAACCCCTTTCCTCTGTGCTATGGCTGCTACTGAGACTCTGGATCTGAAGTGTCTTCAGAAGCAAGCAAAAGCTTGGTTCTCGGGCTGTAGTGCTGACAGCCAGCTGGGCCTTTAGGGGGTGGGGTGGGGCTTGGGGTGTGGAGATTAATAGGATGGAACTCATTGAGGGCATGCCTTTAAAGGGGACACTGGGCACCCAGCCCTTTCCTGGTTTCTCTTTGCTTCCCAGGCACCATGAGGGGAAGTGCTCCTGTTTCATGGTAATCTCTGCAACCACAGGACCAAACACAGTGAGGCCAAGAGACCACAGAACAACACCTCTAAAACTATGAGCCACCTTCTTATAAGTTAATTATCTCAAGAACTTTGTCCTAGTGACAGCAAGTGGAGTGACATGATGGGCTTTGAAGGAATGCTAGATGCTTATTTGTTGTCTTTCATTTGTTTGTTTTGAGACATACTGTTGCTATGTAGCTGGCCTGAATGTACACCAGGTTGGCCTCAAGCTTGTGAGTATCCCGTCTCCATCTCATGATTGCTGGGGTCACGGATGTGTGTCACCACACCTGGCTGTAGGATCCTATTTAACACAGACATGATCTGGCAGCAATGGGGCCTCTCCCCCCTGAACCTGCTCTACCCTGTGCTCAATGACAGGAGTGGGGTCACTATGTTTGAGAAATTGTGCAATGGCTGTAGGGTGATCAAGAGACAGATCAGTCCTGCACTGTTCACAGGTGCTAGCACACTCTCTGCTACTCAGCAAGCTTCCCGTGAATGGCCTTAGCACACCCTCCCAGGGAACAGTTTTAGAGACAAGAATGGAGCCCTTGTTGGTACACTGGGCTGAGTCAGGGTTGTGTAGTCTCCGCCCATTTACTTACCGCAAAGGTCAGGAGCAGAAACTTGTTGAGGAGCATGGGGTTTTCGAGAGCAGTGCCTGACTTTATGGCTTCCCAGATCTGCCAGAAGAATGAAAGATGTTAGATTGGGCTGCTGGTTTCTCTGTCCAGCCGCTGCTCTCAGACACTGAAATGGCTCATTATCTCTCTCTGCCTACTTCACACTGCCTCTCCAGCAGCCTTGCTCCATCATTATCAGCTGGTCAGAGTACCTGACATCTTCCCTCAGAGGCACTCAGCACAGAGGAGGCAAGTAGACACTCACACCTTTGAGATGCCCATCAGGAGGGAGTCACTACTGTCTGCTGTGTGCCTGGCATGTCATGGTTGCAGAAATAAAAAGCTCATGTTCAGCTCCATGCAGGACTTCTGTCGTAAAAGCAGGACACCTGACCTGTCAAGAAGTGGGGATTGGGGAAGGGAGGCTCTGAAATGAGGAGTGATTTGAACTAAACTACACAGTGTGGCTTTCTCTTTCTTCTTTCTTTCTTTTTTTTTGGGGGGGGGCAATATTGCCCTGGCTGGTCTGGAATTCTCTAAATAGAACAAACTGGTTTCAAACTCAATAGACCCCCTGCATATGCCCCCTGAGTGCTGGGATTAAAGGTGTGCACCACCATACTCATCACCACAGGGAGGTTCTCTCAAAGTTCTATTTGGAGCACTGAGAGATGAGAAAAGGAGCTTGGCCTCCATGTCTGAATACTAGGCTAGTGCTGTGTGTCTGTGGACAAAAGCCAGGTTGTCACCAGCTCATAGCTCAGTTGCTACACTATGTTGCTGTAAAAGCCACAGCAAATACTGGCAACAAGAACCATGTCCCAAATGCACATAAGCAGGTATCACCATCCTGGAAGAGTGGACCCCACTTTCTTATGAGCTGGCTGGGCTGGGCTGGGGTGGGGACCACAGGAGAAGTCTGAGCCTGGTCAAGGTTAGGATTTTTCCCTTTATGGGGTAAGATCTGATGCAACACTTTGAGGGTGACCACTGGGACCCACACAGAGAAGATTCATCTCTCATGTTTCTCTGGTGTGATTATTGTTAGTGTGGCTCCTACAGAAGGCCCTCTATTAAACCAACTTACAGAATACAGACACAATGGGCAGTGACCACAGCGGAGTAATTGGCTCTTTTGTGTGTGGGGAGGGAATCCTCAAATTTCTTTCATCTAGTTACCCTGAGATATTTAACTATAAAACAATCCATGTGCTGTGCTGCAGGGAGCTAAATGTACCCCTCCTCACTGCTCAGTACTGCCCATCCATTCTCTCTGGCTTCTCTTGCTTCCTCTCTCCCTAGCCTTTACCGTTCTGCTCTGCACTCTCCTTGAACTCAATATTTTCAGCTTCTATATATGAGTGGGGCTCTGGGCTGTTTGTCTTCTGGGCCTGGTTCATTTCACTTCCTCAAAGGCCTTCCTGTTCTCCCCATGTTGTCACAAATGGCAGGATTTTATTCTTCTTCATGGGTAAGATCCCTGTGTATATGTACCACATACCTATAGGAGCTCACCTGCTCAGGGCACCCTGGTGACTGTGGACAGGCTGCAGATGTGCCTTCAACGTATAGATCTCACTTTCTCTAGATAAGACACCCAGTGACCACTCTGGGTCACCAGCTAGTCCTCGTCTTAGTCTCTGAGGCACTTTTACTATCCTGCACAGCAGCTGCACTGATTACATCCTCCAATGGTGTACAAAATGCCATTTGTTTTCTAAAAGTAGTGTGAGGACCCTTCAAATAAATGGGACAAGAAGATAGGCAGAGACCAACCCCTTCCACCCCACTCTTTCATTCTCCTCCACCTGACACGCAAAGAGGCAAAGTAGACATCCTGATAGAGAACACATCTATGGCCCAGAGAGAGGCAACAACACAGGGCAGGTGACAAGCCACCTCATCCACTTGGTACCACTGAGACAGTGGATACAAAACTGACTGGGAAGAAATGTCGGAGGTCTCGGGGGGCTCACAAGTCAGCTGGCACTGACTAGAGTTTGTCCTGGAAATACCAGAGGCCTGTAAGTGCCATTGTGGCTCAGAACAGCCAAGCCTCCTAAGGGACAAAGCACAGAGCCCCAGGTGCATTTGGTCACAGCAACACAATTCTCAGAGGCCACACTGCTCCAAATGTTCCCTGAACTCCAGCAGCCAAGCTCATTTTCTACCTTATCCCTGCATGAATCCCACCCCCAGACTTACCTCCAAGCCTGGCTGTCTCCTCCTGACCATATTCTGCACAGGAAAGAGTTGGCCATCTTCCCTCTGGGGAAAAAACCCTCAAACTCGCCAGCACCAGCACCTCTATGCATCTCTTATAGACTATTTCTGTGATAGATCTGTATGCCTGAGTAGACACAGTGCACTTGCCTGAACCCCATGACACACAATGGAGCCGTTGCGGCTGTGTAGCTAACCTCGTTTGCTGACTGTTCCAGAAGGAGCTTCTTGTCTGCAGTCTTAAAAGCCTCCAGTGTGTTGGTGTTGTACAGGGTCCCCAGGGCAGGGCAGCAGCGGGCAGGCGTGGGGGCACTCCTAGACATGAGACAAAGAGTTACCCAGCATGGCTGGGACCCTGAGCAAAGCATAAGGTGACAAGTAACCCTGATACCACTGACTGGGGAAGAGATCAACGTTATACTGGTTCTTGCTCACGCAGAAGAAAGCAGGTGCTGTCTGGGGATTGTCTGTACCCCTGGCCCTCAGCTGTCAGCCTCCTATTCTTCCCAAAGCACATTCGTCTTTATTCTTTCCCATAATCAAAGTGAGGAGGAACTAGTTGAAGCAGGAACTGCCAAGGGCCCGAGTTCTAACTAGCAGCTCTTTCCCCTCTTAAGCCTTAGGAAACTGCCTAGTGTGATGGTTAGTTCAAGTCAACTTGAAACAAGCTAGTCATCCCGAAAAAGGAACCTTATTTGAAGATTTGCCTCTATCAGATTGGCCTGTAATGTATGTGGCATTTTTTTCTTTGTTGATTGACGTGGGAGAGCCCACACCACCGGGGGTGGTGCCACACTTGAGAAGGTGGTCCAAGAATCCAGACTGAGCAAGCAATGAAGAACAAGACAGTAAACAGCACTCCTCCATGGCCTCTGCTTCTGTTCCTGCCTCCAGGTTTCTGCCCTGATTTCCCTGCATAATGAACTATAACTGTAAGTTGAAATAAACCCATTCTTCCCCACATTGCCTTTGGCCATTCTGTTTATCACAGTATTAGAAAGCAAACTTGAATCCTGGGGTCACACAATCACAGAATGTACAAGTCCCACTGGTGGACTCAGGGTACACCCCCACCCACCCAGTGCTGGCTCCAGACCACATATCCCGGACAGCAGCTCCCATGTTCCTGGCTAAAGCCTAGAATCTCAGCACATTGTCAAGAATGGCCACGCACACTCTGGAAGACAAACTTCCCTGCTTGTCCCACACATGCAGCTGCTATGCCATCTGGGCCACGGATAAAATGCAGGACGGCCAGACAGTTACTGTCAATCTAGGGTACCAGCCACACTCATACTCACTACACTTCCCCAAAGGCCTCACAGGAACTGGAGAGATGAAAGAAGATGGACTGATTTTAAACACAGGCTTGGAAAAAAGACTCATCTGCTGTCTCTGAAGTGATCACCCTGAATTTTGTAAAGTACTGTTATTAAAAGAAAATAACCTTGGTGCTGGAGAAATGGCTCAATGGTTAGGAACGCTAGCAGAGGACCCAGATGCAATTCCAGTGAAAACCTGATGGCTACAACCGTCTGTAACTCCAGTTGGGATCCATGCCCTCTTCTGATCTCCGTGGGTGCCAAGCGTGCACATGGTACACATACATACATTTATTCACTTAGGCAAAACATTCACCCAACAAAATAAATAACTAAATCTAAACATTAAAAAAATATTTCTGCCACTAATGGCTTAATGTTATTGTCACGTGGGACTTACACAGAGAGAGGGTTCTATCATTCATCACCCTGAGGATAGTACATGTGTCAGAGACAGTGTCTTTTGATACCTTTTCCTTTTTTTTTTTTTTTTTTTTTTTTTGGTTTTTCGACACAGGGTTTCTCTGTGGAGCTTTGGAGCCTATCCTGACACTTGCTCTGGAGACCAGGCTGGCCTCAAACTCACAGAGATCCACCTGCCTCTGCCTCCTGAGTGCTGTGATTAAAGGCGTGTGCCACCAACGCCCGGCCTTTTGATACCTTTTCATGTGCGGTGCACAAAGGGGCTAGAGGGGGCCTGATGGAAAGAGATGCCAACCTAGTACAGGTGAGGAGGACACATGAGTAACAATGGCTCTGCTAAACGCCACCAATAAGCTTTAAATGCCAACCAAGTCCTGGTGGGGGTGTGGGGAGACCTTCCAGTGGCCAAAGCCTTCTCTTGAGAGCATGAGTCATTGCATCACAGGCTGTCTGTTGGGACCTTTTTGGGGTCTGCTGATCATCTCGTGACTAAGGGTGACCCACTGAGCCCTTGGGGTCTGCTGACCATCTAGTGACTAGGAATTTACTTCCTTGTTCCCTCCTTCCGACTAGGCCTGTATGCAAGAATGCACACTATCTGCCCATCCCTATGGGAGGAAGGTTGGGAGCATGAAACCCTGACCTGAGTAAATTTCTACTGTGGCTGCTGTCTATATGTCTCCTCCTCCTTTGAAATAAATGGCATTCTCCTTGCAAGAATGACCAGCTGTTGTGTCTTTATTCAATCCTCAGATTCCCTCGACCGAACACAGGCATTACAATCACATTCCTCCACTAAAAATAAAACATTCCTCATGTAGGCAAGGTGAAGGCATGGAAGGTGGAAGAGGAGAAAGAAATCATACAGGGCAAATTTGGGCCTGGAGAGGAGAGGGAGGCAGAGCCTCTGCTCAGCAGGCTTCCATCGTCAGACAGTTCTATGGAATCAATGCTGAGAAGGAGGTTGGGGTCAAGCACAGTTTAAGAAGGGACTCTGTCCAACATGTCCCAATACCCCAGGTGTGTGCAAGCTATCACAGATCCCTGCTGTGCAGAACAGAGGCTACTTCCAAGAACACAGATACTGTGGGGATGGCTCTTGGCAACACCAGACACAGACAAGCTACTGACCACATCTACATCTGACTAGGCTTCTACCAGGAATGACTAGGATTTCATTTGTTTGGATGAGTTATTAGTAGGTAGTTATGATGGAGAGAGATGACGCAGCAGTTAAGAGCACTGGCTGCTCTTGCAGAGGACTTAAGTTTTGAATTCCAAGATCCACACAGTGGCTCACAAGCAACTGTTGTTCCAGTCCCAGGGTATCTGATGCCCTCTTCTGGCCTCCTTGAGCACTGCATGCATGTGGAATACATACACACAAGCGGACAAACACACATACATATTATTGTTATTATTATTATTATTATTATTATTATTATTATTATTATTATTAAGAAAAGAAAGCTCTGAAGAAAAGAGAAATGCCCGCAGGTATTTCATAAAGATATAAACACTAACATTGGTCTGCATTTATGTTACCCTTCTAAAATCTGCAATTTGATGGGGATAAAGGAATAAAGTAGATTAATCTTTTGAGAGATTTAATAAAAATAGAGGGGGCCAGTGAAATGGCTCAGAGGATAAAGGCACTTGCTGCCAGTATTCACCACCTATATTCAATCACTGAGACTAACACGGTACAAGCAGAGAGAACAGCCTCCTATAAGTTGTCCTCTGAGCTCTACACATATGCTATGGTAAACATGCACCCATGTGCACACACACACACACACATAGTCACATTAGTAAACAAAATGTGATTTGTAAACCGTTTTTAAAGGGCAAGAATGATAGTTCAACAGTTAGAGATCGCTGGCTACTCTTGCAGAGAACCCAGGTTTGATTCCCAGCACCCACACAGTGGCTCACACCCATCTGTAACCCCAGTTCCAGGGGACTCAATACCCTCTTCTGGCTCTCATGGGCACTGCACAAATGTGGTTCACAGACATACATGCAGGCAAACACTCATACATAAAAGAATAAAAGAAATAAATCTTTAAAACAAAGTAGTATAGTCAAACTATTCTCATTTTTTCCTCTAATGAACAAATGTAGCAGACAGTCTCAGCAGGAGGCTCTGGCTCCATTCCCAACCTGAGAGCTTCCTTAGCTGCTCAAGGAAACACTCACTCCTTGCCCAGAGGAAGCAGGGTCCTTTGGAGTATGTACAAATCAATACTCACATGTCAAAAGCACTGAACTCCAATGTCAAGCGTGTGGGTAGACCGGCAGAGTCACCTGTGTGAAATTATTGTCATGTCTCAGTGACAAGCAGAGTGATGGTGCCCATGTGAAAACAGCTACTGCTGGTCATGCCCTTTTATTTGAAAATTGAGCTCAAGGTACCCTATCCATGACATGCAGATAACATGTGCACAGATGACAGTGGATCTTGAGAGAGACTGACAGGGAGGGACTTGTAACCAATATAAAAAGTACACCCTGAGAATCCGCCGTACCCCCAATCCCGGAAGCTAGCTGAGCAGTGTTTGCCCTAACAACTTGAGCTTCACCACTCTTCTTTTTTCCCCAGGGGGAAAATATTTTAAGATAGACTTGGGGTAAGTTTCAAGAAAGATACAAGAAGTTAAAAAACTGTGGATATAAAAGATAAGCATATCCCTTGTCTGGTGTTCATGAGGCTCTGGGTTCCATACCCAGCACTCCAAAAGTGATAGTAACAAGTGCCTAATAAGGGGTGCTGTTCCACAGAGGACCGACAAGAACACAGGGATCAGGAACAAGGCAAGTGGGGACAGCCTACCATTGTAGTAGTAGCCTTTGATGTCCTTGGGAGTCTCATCCAGGCGGTACTCATTCAACTTCTTCTGGGTCAGTTCATGCCAGAAGCCAACATCCAGGGCACTATTAAAGGGGGCGAACTGCAGCTTGGACAGTCCAGGGTCCCCCATGGCCACTGTTCTTACCGGTCTATGAAAACAAAAAACAAAATAGAGCTAAAGTCAAGCAAACCATTGGGGCTGGAAAAATGGCTCAGTGGCTAAGAGCACAGAACCCACATGGTGCCTTACACCTTCCTATAGTTCCAGGGTCAGGAGATCCAACACTCTCTTCTCCTTTGGCTTCTGCATGAATGCAGTGCACATAAACTCACCGAGACTCACACACATAAACATAAACATAAACATAATCCATAAATCAACCTTTTCTTTAAATAGCTAGCCAAAGGCAGTTCTAGTGTACAGGTTCATTTAAGACAATGCTTAGTCTATAGTCGCACTCTGCCCAGAAGTGTGACATTCAATGACAGACCTCTGGAGCCATTCCAATTCCTGACAACAGAGCTCTTTACCTTTTATTTTTACTTATCATCATCATCATCATTATTAATTTTTTAGACAGAGTTTCTCTCTGTAGCCCTGGCTGTCTTGGAACTTGCTCTGTAGACCAGGCTGGCCTTGAACTCGTAGTGATCTGCCTGCCTCTGCCTCCTGAGTGCTGGGATTAAAGGCATGTGCCGCCATGCCCATCTCTACACCCCTTAAAGAGCAGTTCCATGTCCCTTTCCCAGGCACCGACCATTCTGTTATTGTGAGACTAATACCACATATCCCTTAGAGAAGGAGACTCATGTGATTTAAACTTGAGTGACCGGCTTACTTTATTTAAGACACAACTTTGAAAACACCCTGAAGAACTTGTTGAACTTGTCAAGTTCAGTCTCTTTATAGGAGTAATTTGTATAAGCAACCTTTCTGGCATTAATGTCTTTAATCTTATGTTAGCAATGAGCATGCACCTAGGCTCCCTCCCACTTGAGGCAAGTACTAGGGCCCTGAACTGCACCCCTAGCCCTACCCTTGACTCCATTTCTCATCATAGTCAGCTGGAGACTGACTCCTTGGAGACTGTCACAGTCTATAAATCCAAAATCAAAAGTCCCATAAGTCAGAATGTGCCTATCTGAGCCAGGCGTGGTGGTACATTCTGTCATCCCAACCCTTGGAAGATGGAGGCAGGAGGATCAAGAGTGAGAGATCATCTTTGGCTACCTAGTGAATTCAAGGCCAATCTGGACTACATAAGACCCTGTTAAAAGGAAGGGAGGGAAGGGGGGAAACAAAAGGAAGAGAAAGGCAAGAAGGGAGGGACAGAGGAGGAGGAGGAAGGCCATCTAGAAGGCCAAGTTGGAACTCTGTCTGTTGAAGATCAATGCTGAGCATTCCAGCTGAGGTGGGTAAAGTCCTCTTCCCATAAGCCTTAATTCCTTTAAAATCTCATCTTATATCCCTTTTGTTCCCTCCCCATAGGGTCCATGCTGGGGTGGAGATTGTTGCATCTCTTAAGTACATGGAAATTTTGCATTCTGTATCACAATATGTATTTTAAATGTTTTTATTTCCCCATTCAAGTCATCAAGTGAACACGGCTCTGCAAGCAGGCTTGCGTATGTCCCAGGACTGTGAAGCACCCATGTGCATACCTGTGAACTATGTATGTGCACTAGGCCTGTGAACCACTCATGTAGACTATGTATGTGCCCCACAGCTGTGAGCCATCCATGAACACCATACACGTGCACCTCACTTTCAGGTGTGCCCATTTGGATGAATATAGCATGGCAGGAAAGCAGTGTGGAGTCAGCCTCAGCACTACAGACCTGAGAACTTCCCAGTGGCCTGTGTGCAGCTTCCGGTTACCAGCACACGTTTAAAATCCTAATGCTGCCTGCGCCAAAGGAAAAATGAAAATCAACTTAGCAACCACCTTGTTTGCCAAAGAGCTGTTTCTGCCCATGCCTGGCTGTGTGTCTGTTTAAAGAATGATGGATTCAGGGTCACCTACCTTCACTTACTGCATGTTTGGCCACCCACATAGGCTGATTTAGCCAATATGGTTCTGGATCATTTGGGTCGACTTGGTTATCTCCTGCTTACTCTCCGCATTAAGCAGTAAACTGTCACTATTTTTTCTGGATCTTAGCTCTGCAGGCAGGCATTCATATTGGTTTTTACACCGCTGAGCTGACTACTCCACTTTTATACAGCCTCTGCATTTTCTAGAAATAGAAAGAAAGGCTATGCATTTCTAGAAATTAATCTTAATTTCTAAAATAGGAGTTATTCTAAAAGCTAGAAAATTAATTTATGACAAGAGCTAAATCTGAAATGTTTCATTTAAAATTGATTATGAATTAACTATCTTTTAAATGTTGACTTTTTTTTGGGACAGCATCTCATCATGTATTCTTGGCTAGCCTAGAACTCACTATGTAGACCAGGATGACTTCAAATTCTTAGAGATCTACCTGTCTCTTCCTCCCAAGTGCTAGGATTTCGGGTTTCAGGCTTGTGCCACCACACCCTATTGAGTTTTACATGAATATTTAAATAAGGAAACCTCTCCCATGTAAGATTCCTGTAATCCCAGCACTGGGGATGCTGATGTGTGTTACACAGGGAGTTCCAGGATGCTGGAGAAGCCCCTGAGGCCCCACCCCCTTTTGAGAAGCTACTGGTGGCTGGTGACTGCTGAGAGACGGTCATCTCTTTTAGGGATGTGGCCCTAGTAGGTAGCTTATGCCTCAGTGGGTGGCCACACCCCATGTGCACATGTGCAGCACTGACTGGAATCAGGTAGTTGCTAATGACAAGAAATGAAAGGAGGACATGAAGCTAGGAGGGAGATGATGGGGGCTTTAGGGGAAGTGGTGGCTGGATAGGATCAATAGGCATTGTATAAATCTATGGACCGTCCAAAAATAAAAGAAAATATTATTAAGAAAAGAAAAAATGAAATACTTCTGACTTAGGATTAATCATTAAGTGTTTAAACTAGGTCAGTAAAAGTCACAATGAGTATTACGGGGTATTTTCTTCATGACCAAGCAAAATGTACATCTTCCTGCTTTTTAAAAAGCATAAGAATACAACCACCAGCTCACAGGTGATTAACCACACATTTTCAACAACTTGCTTTTTGTTAGTATTTACAATTTTCTTCAGTAACAGCAAACTGAGCTCCTCATTTCTTATAATGTGATTTATTTAACTGTGTTCCAAATCTGGATTAAGAATTAAACTGAACTCAGTGCGAAATTTTTTTCTTTTTATATAATCTAGACAATTTCTATAAGACAGGCTTTAAATCAGGAGAATTTAAATATAAATAGCTAACACAATAATTTCAGTTTACCAGGGCTGTAGATACTGTCTACTTTAAAGCCTTTATAAGTCCCTTTAATATTCTGCCTAGCAAGGATTCCTAAGCTTTTACTGCTTACAGCCATTGAGCCTTTGAGAACATCTTACACAGCTGGGACACACAGGTGAAATGGTCAATACCACTTATCAGGGTGACTGCATACTCAGACTGAGCCAAACACCTTTTCTTCCTTAACTTGCTCTTGTCAGGTATTTGTTACAGTGATGAGGAAAGCACTTTTACAGAATATTGGTCCCAAGTGGTCTTTGCAGTGTTAGGTCTGATTGTCTGGTGCCTTTGGAGAGTTGAAGGGCTAGGAACTTCACACTGAAAAAGCCCAATACTTCTGTAAGCAGAGCTCAGTGGGTGTTTTGGTGGGAGTTTGGAAGGCCAGAATGCCAAGAGATACACGCACAAGTGGAGGCCAAGATCGTGAGTTTTCAGCAGGGGAAAGAGCTCTAGCTTGGAACTGTGTCACAGGTCACCCATGTTGTGCTCTGGCAAAGAATCTGGCTTCATTCTGCCCATGTCTGAGAATTTAAGTGAAGCTGGCCTCAAAAGCAATGGACTAACGACATGATAGCACTCAGGTCATGGTATGATCACCACTCACTGCTCTTATCCAGTCTTCAGCAGTCAGGGGAGAAAAGTATTTTTTTTTTTTAATGTACTGTGTGGTAGAGGAAGGAGGAGAGAGGTTAAATTTGACCCCCAAGAGGGTACAGAGAATCAGTTGTAACCATTAAAGGTATTATCACCATTAAAGAGAAACCCTGTGTTCTGTACCAAGACAATAGAAAAGAAGACCCAAGGACACACACTCCTGAGGGTTCCAACCTTTGAAAATGAGAACTCACTTGACAGGGGAAGGAGTTCCCTGCTCTCAGCAGGGCCCTGGGAAGTGTTTTCCTAAGGGCACAGTAAAGAGGGGCTGTTCCAACTGTGGCCATGGTGACCACTCTCCATCTTGAACTCACTGATGAACTTGAATGTTGGTTTTACAAACATGAAAGATGCAATGGTTAGTGGGTTCATGGAGGCTTATGCCAAGGTTCTAGAAGGTCACCGAGGCTAAGCAGTGAAGGTGAACCCTAATTTGCAATGGAGGCACTGGGATTTTGGAGATGCCAGGACTGTGAGATGCTCATTGTAAGAAGGCATTTCAAAGGATAAGAGCCAGTCCACAAAGTGCAGGGCTACTTAAGCCTTTTGGGACCCATATGATTCCATCGTGGAGCTGCAGGAGTTGGTCTTCAATCCTGCTGGGCTTCAGTCTTGTTTTGCTCTGATCTTTCCATGCTGTGTCTCCATTCTATCCTTCTGGGACAGAGATGTTTACTTGGTGCCATTGGATATTAAGGATATGTAACATAAAAAAAAATAGATCCTCACAGTTAAGAGGCTGCCTTGAGTCTCAGAAGAGATTTTAGACTTTGAACTTTTGAACAGCGTTAAGGGAAGTTAAAGACTATAGGGACCTCTTAAGTTGAATGGAGTTTGCATTTTGCAGGATGATGGCCATGGGTCTATAAGAACAGGTGGAAGGCTATAGCTAAAAGTGATATGTTTGAGTCTCAGGCTGACAAGAGGTGATGGTTAACACGGACTGCCAACAGGATCACAAATCACTAGAAGACAAGCCCCTTAACACAGTTGTGAAAGAATTTCTAGGCTGGGCTTATTGAGAGGTAAAGATCCGTGCTAAATATGGGCGGCCCTATCCAGTGGGCTGAGACCCTGGATTCAATGAAAAGGAAACTGAGCTA